GCCTTCCTTTCCCCCTTCTCTTAAATTCTGCTGTGTGCCAAATGCTAACCTCTGCCCTCTTACCCCTGCCAGCCTTCCTTGGCAAACTTAATCTCAGAGACGTCTGCCCTGACTCCTGGGTTATCTCCTATGAGGCACATGTCAAAACTATTTGAAATGACTATCTGTGCAAGTTGTTTTTTATTTTCTGGCTAGAACCATATCTGTTTTGTTATCCTGCCTTGCTAAATCATTAAATCCTTGCCTATCTGACATGCAGGCTCAATTAATGTTCACTGAAGGAATCATCTGCAAAGTTACTCCTGTACCAGCTCTGTTCAGCCATGGACTTATAATTGACTGTACGAGGTCGGACAATTATGTTCGTGAACTCACCCGAGAAACAACTCTACAGACCTCATTGCTGAATAATCACTATGATCACCTTTGAAGTACTCCCCTTGGGAAGCTATGTACTGACACCAGTGCCTAGTCCACCCTTCAAAGCAATTTTGGAACTCTTTTTCTGGAATGGCCATCAGAGTTGCTGTCATATTACTCTTGATGTTCTGAATGTCATCAAAATGTCCCCCTTTCAATATTTCCTGTATCTTCAGGTAAAGAAAGAAGTCACTGGGGGTCAGATCAGGTGAGTAAGGAGGGTGTTCCAATAGAGTTATTTGTTTACTGGCTAAAAATCCCCTCACAGACAATGCCATGTGAGCTGGTGCATTGTCTTGAAACAAAAGCCATGAGTTGTTGGCAAAAAGTTCAGGTCATCTCATCTAATTTTTCACGCAGGCTTTTCAGCACTTCCAAATAGTAAACTTGGTTAACTCTTTGTCCAGCTGGTACAAATTCATAATGAATAATCCCTCTGATATCAAAAAAGTTTAGCAGCATCACTGCAACTAGTTTGTGAACTTAATCGTGACATCTCGTACTATAGAGGCAGTGCTGCATAGTGGTGGGGAGCACAAATATTGCAGCCACACTGCCCGGACAAGTTGTTTAATCTGTCAGTGCCTTGGTTTCCCATCTGCAAAATGGGGGTAGTAATGGTGCCTTCCTCACAGATGTGACATGAAGATTAAATGTGTTATTATATGGAGAATACTTAGCACAGAGCCTGGCGCATAATAGGTGCTATTGTGTTTCAGTGATTATTATCCTAGATGCCTAGACAGTGAGAACTACAGGGATTAATAGGGGATATCCAGACTCTCACTCCCATTTTACAGGTGAGAAAATTGAGGCTTAATGAAAGGAAAGGGTTAGCCTGACACTTTCTAGATTGTACATCTAGAAAAATTTATCAAGACCGTGCACCTTCGTTGTCACTTTTCAGATCATGATTTTCTGAGAAAAGTGAGAGTTAGGGCCAAAGAACAACATTTCTTCCTTCTTCATTCCTTCTTCAAATACTTGTGTGGCTCATAGTTGATGCTCAAATGTGTTTTTTGAATGAATAGAAAATTGAATGAATAAAGAAATAGTGAGAGGCCTCTGTTGTTAAGGAAAAAAGCCTGCCATGTGGGTTATCAAATTCCTGGCTTGCACACCCCACCTTAACTGATCAATTATTGTGTATCTTTGCACCAAACCTGAACTCAGCCTCAGAACCCTTATCCCATTCCACCATTAATTGATCAGACTTGGCCTCTCAGATAAAATCTACTTGCCTTCCTCAGCCTGGCCTCAGGCATCTCTTTGATTATGTGGTTTTCTTCTTCCTCTCCTTTCACCTTTCTCTCTCAGGCTCTTCCACCCTCCTCACCTCCATTTTCCTTTCTGTCTGTCACGTGGACCCTTTGCATCCTGGTAAAAAACGTACCTGAGGCCTCAAGCGCCTGCTTCCCTGCTTCCGTGGAGAAAGCCGAGAGGGTCCATCCAGCTGGTGCCTTGGATCCCTGAGCCGGCTGACCACCACCCTGGACCAGCCCGTTAAGAGAGTTCAGCCTCCTGATTCACAAGAGACTGGGGCCTCCCAGGTGGGCCCTCTAGGTGCAGCAGGCCCAAAGCGGAACAGAGCAGCTCACTGGGAACGTCAAGTGGGCTGTCTCCTCCTCCCGAGAGGCCTGCCATGAACTCCCTGCCCTGCTAATCTCACCAGGAAGGAGGAAGTGAATGTAAGCACTCACCGGCAGGAAACGAGTCTGAAGTCCTGCCTGGCTGGACAGCCACCTGGAGCCCTGGCTAGGGCCCAGGCTGTGAGTGCCTCTTCCCCACAGAGCCCTCCTCGTCTTGGTAGAGGAGATTCGGGGTGGCAATTTCAGCAACTTAGGAATAATATACCATAGTGGCTGCCTGAAAACACAAAACAGAACCCAACAAAACAGCACCCCCCTTAACAAACCAACCCCATGCTGACAACCTCCTCAGGACTTGGGGTAGGGTGGGGTGAAGTGAGTTAGTGAAGGTGCTGTTACCTGTTCTGAGGTGCTGGGCCAAGGCTGAGGCCCCTGGAGGAACCAGGGAGAAGGTGGGGGGCGGGTGCGGGTGGAAACCCAGACAGATTGTGGGTAGGGGTGGGGCAGCAAAGAAGGATGAGGTCAAAGGCTGCTGGAGATAGTGAGCCTGAAGGATGGAAAAGGGGCTCCCTTTATCAGGAGCAAGGGAGACAGGAAGAGGAAACGGTCTGGGGAAAAGATTCTGGATTTGGTTTGGGGCACATGGAGTTAGAGGTTACAGTTGGAGAGAGAAAGAGGGAGGAGAAGAGGGAAGGGACAACATGTGGTAGAATTTCAGTGCAACAGCGAATGCAGTGTTTAATGTCTCTTTTCCTCGCCTTAGGTCTCCAGGTGCATTCAGAGGGGCTCAGTGTCTCCCAGCCCCGATCCAGCCCCCCAGGCTTGTCACTCGTCTTGATTCTCATTCCTGAGGCCTTTTCACCTTAGGATGAGTTCTTTCCCAGGAGGCACCGGGTTCCCCAGGGGAACCTGGGGCCTTTCTCACTAGTTTGCCATTAGGGCATGCTTCTGTACTTGGTGATTTCTGCCCTAACTGCTTCCAGAAGGGATGTGTGGTCTCCCTGGAATGAATATCCAAGGATATGGGGTCAAATAGCGGCTCAAAAAATAAAGACTAGTGCCCAGAAACTGGTGTGAGAATGAGGCTCCTGGGAACTGAGATGGCCTGCAGGCCTGTGTTCTGGCTGCCTACTTGGTCCCTGGGGAGGTGAAGTGGACACCCTGGGAGCACGTCCCAGAGCAGGCCATGCTTTCATGCATCCTGACTGGCTTTGAGCTCGGCCTTGTGTCTGCTCCTGCCTCCTCTCCTCTGCCGCCTGTACAGTTCTGCTCAAGGCTGGTGGCTTCTTGTCATTCAGATCTGACCTCCAATGTCATCTCTTCAGCCCCTCCTTGTTAGCTTCCCGAAGTAACCAAGCAAATCATTGAATTAAAATCCTGATAAGGGGCTGGTTGAGTGGCGCATTGGTTAAGAGCTGGCTTGGGACGCCAGCTCTGAGCAGCAGGGTCCTGGTTCGGATCCCACATGAGGGCCAGTGATGCTGCCCTCTACAGCTAAGATGGTGAACAATAGCTCGACCTGGAGTTGGGCTGCCATGAGTCACCGGCAGTGGCGTAGGCTGCAGTGGGCTGACATAAGTTACCGTGAGTGGCCCGCAGCTGGCTTGAGCTGCCATGAGCCGCTGTGAGCGGCGAGCGACTGCCTCACCCGGGAAGAGCACAATGATAATACCAACATGAGCCAGTGAAGCGACGTCCTCCACAACTAGACTGAAGAACCAAAGGACAGCAACTTGTCTGTTCCCCTTCCCCGACTCCCCAATGCTGTTCCCCTCCCCGAATTCCCCAATAAAATCTTTAAAAAAAAAATCCTGAGAAGTTCTGTGAAGGAACTTATAAGACAGCAAATAGCAAGAAAATTTCTTCATTCAGCAGGTGGTGAGGGACTTCCTCTGAGGAGAGAACTTTGAGGTGCTCTGCTGGATTCCTGTTGGTGCTGTAAAAAATTGAATGGCTTTAAACAACACAAATGTATCACCTTAGAGTTCTGTCTGTCAGAATTCTGGCACAGATCTCACTGGGCCAAAATCCCGGTGTCAGCAGAACTGTGTTCCTCCTGGGCTCCACGGGAGAACATGTTTCCTTGCCTTTTTCAGGTCCTGGAGGCAGCCACTCTCCTTGGCACGTGGTCCCTTCCTCCATCTTCAAAGCCAGCAGTGTTGCATCTCTATGAGCTTCTTCCATTGTCACGTCTTCTAACTCTCTCTCCTGCTCCCCTCCTTCCCTGTTTCACTCTCAAGGACACTATGAATACACTGGGTTCCCTGGATGCCCCAGGACCCTCTCCTTATCTTAAGGTCAGCTGATCAGCAGCCATAATTCCATCTGTAACTTTAATTCCCTTTTTCCATATAACTGATATTATACCTGCACGGGCTTCAGGTTTTAGGATGTGGGCACATTTGAGGGCCATTATTCTGCTAATCACAGGTGCAATTCTGTTTTATTTTCTTTCTAGCACTGACAACAGCCTGAAATGATTATTTCCTGAATTTTTGTTCACTTGGCACCTGTCTCGCGTGACTGGAAAGTGAATCCCATGAGGGCCGTAGCCTTCCTTGTGCTGCTCACTAGAACAGTGCCTGGTACTCAGCAGATGCTTAATTGTGGTTTGCTGAATGAATGAATGAATGAATGAATGACCGCTGGCTCATTTCTGCATTAGTCAGTACAGACAGAACCGGTCTGAGAGCCAGTAACTGTGACCCCCATTCTACCTTGAGCAGTGTGACCCTGGACCTTTGCTCCCCACTCTGGGTCTCTTTACAGCAACCCTAGGAGGAAGGGAAGGCCCAAGGCAGTCTCCCTGGGGGCTTCACATCTTGAGAAGCTAATTACCATCGTGAAATCATCCCTCATTTTCCTTGCCATGCCAAAGCCCTCCCTGAAGCACAACCGGAGCAGGCCTCCAAGGGCACAGCCTCCCAGTGTTCACTCAGAGGCACCAACTGGGTCTCAGCATGGGTGTTGCTTCCTGTGCATGCGGGGGGCTGTCTTCTGCCCCTGCCAGCCTGCCATGTAGGTGGACAACATGGGCCCCATAGTCGATGCTTAATAAACTTGGGCTGTAATTTCAACTTTCCTGGTGAAAGGGGCCAGGATGCCTTCTCTTCTCTCTTGGATGACAACATTGAAAGAGGGGGGTCAGTGTCAAGTCTGGTTTGGCAGGAGGTCTTGAAAGTGCATTATTGGTGTTTGACAGTTGATTCATTTCCCTGGGGAGTGTTGGTGCCAAAGCCTGACCCAGAGGCCAGGAGCCAGTGGGAATGGTCACCACCCTTTCCATTACTGACAGACTCAGGGCACTGGTTCTGCCGCCAGGCAGCTGTGAGCACTCAGGGGAGTGACTGTAGCTCAGGAGCTTATCTCTCTTAATTATAAAAAGAATACAGTCCCATCATAGACATTTTGGAAAGCACCGGACAGTGTAAAGGAAAAGAAATCAGGCAAGTATAAGCTCCCTTTGGGAACAATGTTAATATTTTGGCATATTTCCTCCCCTGTTTATATAAAGGAACTCTTCCTGTGCATCCGGTTTGTTCCCTTCTCTGTTTGCTTGTTATCATAGCTGAGGCATTTCCCAAGTCGTTGAAAACTGGGAGATGTGATTTTTTAAAAACTGCACATGATCACGTTACAAAAACACTGTACTCATTTACCCTCCTCAGCTACTGGGCGTTTCCACGTGTGTGTGTGTGTGTGTGTGTGTGTGTGTGTGTGTATGTGTCTGCACACGCTCATGGGTGTGTGCATGGGTGTGTTTATAAAAGTACTACAATGAATTTTTGCAGGCACATCTTGAGGCTTTTGTGCACCTTTATTTCCTGCTTTAAAAAAAAATGGCACCAATAAATCCAGCCTTTCTACCCTACAAGGTTTTGAGGCAAAAACAAGAACATGGACATCAAGGTGCTTTCAAAATCATGGGGAAAAGAGCTGTCCCAAATGGAAGGGCAGAGTTTGAGCACTACCTCTTCAAGCACCACGTCTTCAAGGTGTGTGTGTGTGTGTGTGTGTGTGTGTGTGTGTGTGTGTGTGTCTCTTCCTAAGCAGGTGGGAGATGAGATGAGTATGGGACTAGGGATAATAGCAGCGACAGCATTCATGGAGCACTTACTCTATGCCTGGCGCTCTGTTAAATGAGGCACACACATAATCTGAATTCATTCTAACAACAACCCTCCAGGGACATAGTAGTATTACGTACAAATGAGGAAACTGAGGACAGAGAGGTTAAGTAATTGCCTTTGGTGACACAGTGAGTAAGCAGGAAGTTGAGAAGGGACACACACACACACACACACACACACACACACACACACACACACACCTTAGAGCTGCAGAGTCAGTAAGGAGAGCTCCAGAATATTACAGCAGCACCTTCCCTGGGGCTTCAGAATACCCAGGCCCCCCAGCATTTCCTGAAAAAAGGTGCTTTTAAAAAACTGAGCATGTTCCTGGCCAGTAGACAAACTAAAGATTATTTACCCAGAGCTGAGGTTTCTGACTTACAATGCTTCACTCAGAGAGAAAAACCCAGAGAAACAGAACCCATGCCAGGCACATCTGAGACAAAATGGCAGAGCAGCGTCACCGTGTGTGTGCATGTGTGTGTATCTAGTGTGGGTCCCCGTAAGCGTGTGAGTGTGTAGTGCTTGGGTACCGATAAGCACGTGTGTATATGTGTGCACAGAGGTCCACAGATGTGTGTGTTTGCATAGGATGTATTTGACCTTCTGCGTTCCCAAAGACAAAAGAGCTGGTTTACTAATGAAATAAATGTCCACCGCACTGATTTCTATAAATCTTTGAGAAGAAACTGGACCAGGACCTATGCAGGGATTTCTTTGTACAAACTTCTGCATCAAATCAGCAGCAGTTTTCACAGCAGCCATGGACCCTGGTCATAACAGAAGCCAACTGTATACTGAAGCCATGGCAGAAAGGCACAAAACGTTACCACGTAGAGTGGCACCATCAATAAACTACCCACAATGTTCAGTTCTTCACACCCTAGTTAATTGACCAAACCCAGTGTGGTCACATGTGCCTTGTGCCTGGAT